AAACACTATCCCATCATCTGAAGGTGCTACTATTGAATTTCCCTTGAAGAAGCATGTGGAGAAAATATCAAAATCTTCCCAGAGTGAAAGTGCATCTTCATTTGCCAAAAGCACATCTGAAAGTAGTGACTCTGAGACTAGGCCTACTAGTGATGCCACATCTGCCTGCCGTTCTTCATCACCCAGTAAAAATAATAAAAGAAATAGTAAGCGTATTGCTGAGAAAGTTATAGCTGCCATCAGTAAAAAACAAAAAAAATCAGCAGCTTCAGAGTGTGATTCTGGTGCAAGTGAAAGTTTAAGTACAAAAAGTTTGAGCCATCGTTCGCCCAAACAAAATGAAAACATTAGTTCATCTTCACAAAAAGAGCAATTTAGTAGTAGAAAGACCAGGAGAAAAGCATCTCAACTTGTGGATGCCAACAAATCTTCACATTGTGAGGTTTTAGTTTCAACCCAAAATGAAGCTTTTAGTGACAGACAGGTGATGAATGATGGAATCCGGAAGGCTGATGAACCTGCAAATGAAAGTATCATAAAGAAAGAAGTATATAAAGATAAATCTTGGAAACCAATGGAGAAGGCTCTCTTTGAAAAGGGTCTGGAGATTTTTGGGAGAAGCAGGTTAGTACACTTAAAGATATGGTTACCCTCCCCCCGTTCCATTTTATGTGTGTGACTTGTGCAAATATGCTTCACTCAAGTCATTTACAATGTGATCTTTTAAATGAATTAGCTTAGACTTAGTAAACATATTTATATATACCGAAACTAAATTTAAGTTATTTAACATAAAAACCGAATTCAACAATTAAAGGGAAATAATATAGAAAACAGGTGAAGAAAGAAGAGTTGGATTGATGAATAAAATGCGACATATCGAACAACATACAATTTGTGTGTTGTATATACATCATTTTCCCTTTGCTTCTTTGTGTGAGATGGTTTAATGTTTCTGGACTCTTCAGTTTGCCTTGCATTGGTTGATGCCATTTATTTTAGAAATTCAGCGTGCAGTAAAATGGCACTATAGTTGGTAGAACTCACATTTCTATGCATTTAACTCGACCTGCAAATGGTTTATCAAGATTTTGTATTCCTATGCATTTATGTTTTCAGTGAATTATTTACTGTAATATGAACTACTGGAGTATGAATTACTTGATCTAGCGGTGCCCTGTGATGGTAGAAGTAGCTATGTGTTTGTTTGGTTTGTCAATATCTTTGTTTTTCATTCACCATGCAAAACTCTCTTTTGTCGCACAGCTGTTTGATTGCTCGGAATCTCATGAATGGTCTGAAAACATGTTTGGAGGTTTTCCAGTATATGAACCGGACTGGGAATAAGCTGTCTGCTCGAGCAGACAGTGGCGTAGACTGCATGCTTGAAGGTGGTTCCAAGGGTGACGAAATTTTGGTCAGTATTTCATATTATTGGTCCAAATATGATCTTTTTGATGCTTTTATTTATCGTTTTGATTTAGAGTTCCCCTGGGTTTCTATGTTTGTAGTTTCTGTGTTAATTTTTTTGAGAACTTTTACTAGGGCAGTGAAGCACGTAGACGTTCAAGATTTTTGCGTAGAAGAGGTAGAGTTCGTCGTTTAAAATACACATGGAAATCAGCAGGATACCATGCAATAAGGAAGCGGATATCTGAGAAGAAGGATGAGCCTTGTCGGCAGTATAATCCTTGCAGCTGTCAGTCTCCCTGTGGAAAGGAGTGTCCTTGTATTTTAAATGGCACCTGCTGCGAAAAGTATTGCGGGTTAGTTAAATGTTCCTCTCTAAATCCTGAAATCTTTTAGACCGTGATTTATCCCCATTGCATCTAAGACCAAGCCCTAACCAAAACTGGACAAGCCAAACATCATTTGAGTTTTACTGTATTGTAAACTGCATTTCATATTATCATAAAAAAACTATGTAAGTTGTACTTTTCACAACATGAAGTCTTGGGGTTTGAATTTTGAACAAAGAGTTCTCCTGGTAAACCCTGAAGCCATGTTCAGTGCCAAGCTGAACACCATTAATGTGCTTTTTGCTAGTTTCCCTTTGCACATCAATAAATGCTGCTGAATTGTTTTCTTATTCTTATTTCTAGATGTACAAAGACTTGCAAGAATCGTTTTAGAGGATGTCACTGTGCTAAAAGTCAATGTCGAAGCCGCCAATGTCCATGTTTTGCTGCAGGCAGGGAATGTGATCCTGATGTTTGCCGGAATTGCTGGATTGGGTGAACACACTATTTATCTCCTCTAGCGAATACGTAGTTGTCACTTCTTAGAAACTGTTCGCATGCTCTAGCAACTGACATAGCTTTTACCCTCTCTTTCAGAAGCTAGCACCCTTAGAATGGTGAAAGTAGTTGTCTGCTTGTACCTAGTGCCCTAACCATCTATTTTGGGAAGCCATCAATACAAATTTGATAAAAACATCATACCAGTGCTTAGTTGAGCACACATACCTTCAACCAAGTTTCTTCAGATGGCTATTGCTTATGTTTCTAGTTCTTAAATAAACTATCAGTGTAAACTTACGAATATCAGAATTGGCTGCAGTATTATACTGATGTGATATTTCTTATGGAGTGGCTTCCGTTAATCCATTGTGGAATACTACTGTGCATATTGTGGAAAACTGATATACTGTTTGTTTTGGCTGTGTAGCTGTGGTGATGGGTCACTTGGGATTCCTTTACAAAGAGGTGATAACTATGAATGCCGCAATATGAAGCTACTACTCAAACAACAACAAAGAGTAAGTCATATTTATATTATATATAAAGCTGTTGTTTTGAACTTCTCCTTGATATGAGCAGCTTTTTGGTACTTATTATATACAGATTCTTCTTGGAAGATCTGATGTGTCTGGTTGGGGAGCTTTCTTAAAGGTAAATATTGAGCATGCTTACGTTTATGCTATAATTGTGGGTTCCTTCTCATGTTTATTTTGCCTGCTTTCAGAATAGCGTTAGCAAGCATGAATACCTGGGGGAATACACCGGTGAATTAATTTCACACCGTGAAGCTGATAAGCGTGGAAAGATCTATGATCGGGAAAACTCTTCTTTCCTTTTCAATCTAAATAATCAGGCAATGGCAAATGACATGCTCTCTCAAACCGATCACCACTCTCTTTTACTCAACTTGTTTACTAATTAATGTGGTTTTGTTTGTGTAGTTTGTGCTTGATGCTTTCCGGAAAGGGGACAAGTTGAAGTTTGCAAATCATTCTCCCAATCCAAATTGTTACGCGAAGGTAAAAAAGTATATTAGTCCTGGACTAGCGGTAGACCTGTTGCTTTGGTTGCTAAAAAAGCGTCTTTCAGCCTTTTGCATGAAAATAGTTATCTTTAAGTTGTGTTTTCAAACCCGTATTTTTGCTTAAATCTAAAAATTTTAAAACGGAAAGTCACTTTCATGTTTTATGAAAAGTAAACTTTTACAGTTAAGTTCCCCCCTTTATAATCTCCAAAATAAACACTTGCCACAATCAAACCCCTGCCCTTGTCATGGTTTTTAACGCCTTGTGGGGCTCATTTCTTTGATAGGTCCTTATGGTTGCTGGAGATCACAGGGTTGGTATATTTGCGAATGAACGAATCTCTGCTGGGGAAGAACTGTTTTATGACTACCGATACGATCCAGACAGAGCTCCTGCCTGGGCAAGGAAACCTGAGGCGGGGTCCACTTCCAAAAAAGATGACACAACCGCACCTTCCAGTGGACGTGCTAGGAAGCATACTTAACTCACCTTTAGTTTATTTCATTGGATTGTCATTCTCTCTATTTTTAGTTGCTGAAGACTATCTTTAGCCTATATAATGCAGTTTAACCATAAGAATTTTTTATTTTTAATTTTTTGACAAAAGCACTCAGTACAGAGTGTATTTATTGAACGCCGAATGTCGTTTTCGTGTTTCATAGTTCTAATTCATTTTGGTGGATCTTAACTTATTAAGGCTTGCGAAATAGAACGGAAAGCTAATTTCTCAAAAAAACAGAATGAATCTGAGAATGAAATCTTGCTTGGCACAATTTGGCTTTATTGTTCCTGTTGCACTTATTGGTCATTTGATCCTGTTCTAAATATTAATCCCATATTAATAAAATGTATTTTAAAAATAATTGTTTCTTAAATCAGCAGAATCAGCCAATGCTATTACTTTAGTCAGAACTTCATAAATTTCACCAGAATAAGTCGGATCAGCCGTTTTTTGTGATACCAAACGAGCTCTAAAAAGTCTAAAGCATGCAACCTTTCTTCATTCAAGAACACATTTTTTAAATCAATCTAATGAAAAATAAACCGACCGCTAACAATTGCGTTACGCAGCCTGCCTGTTGTCGCCGCCATCATTGTCACTAAAATCAGGATGTCACAAAACTCCTTTCTTAAAGTAGTTAAAAACACTAATTTGCTCAATTCTAGAACGGTTAATATCTTCAAAACAAATGACCACATCTATTATTAAATAATTAAAATTACAAAAATGTGTAATTTATTAGTTTTGAAAAAACATTAAGCTACGAATGAAATCTAATAGATAAAAATATAAAATAGGCATTGAGCAATTGCTTTTTTTGTTTAGATAAAGATGGTTGAAAAGACGAAGTTCGTTTAGATGCAAGTGAGAGCTATAAAAATTGTCTCTTTTAATTGGAAAATATAGACAGAAAACATATTTAGATGATTAGTTAAAAAATAAGACATACTCAAAAAAAAGACATTGATATAATCGACTAAATAAGTGACTTTGCGTTAGTTATAATAACTCCCATGTACAAACATATACTCCCTCCGTCCCATTGGACTTTGCAATCTTTTCATTTTTGGTTGTCCCAAAAAATCTTGTCACTTTCCTATTAAAGTAACTATTTTGAGGTTCTACTTATTTCGCTCTCCTCTGCACAAACTTAAACCACACAATTTTTACTATTTTTATTTCTTACCTAACTTAAGTAGCTCAAAGTCCAGACAAAACTATTTTATCCGGACGGCACAGGTAAATATATGTATAAAGAAAAGTAGGTGACCAATTAGAGAGGAATATTTTAATGTAACAGCCTTTCCATTCGTCTTAGAGACAAGTAGACAACCCAATAATTATTCCAACCAAGCTTTCAACTATTCTTCATCCAATATTTCACCTCATGAATCATTTAATGAGTGACAGTAGTAGGTATGATATTGTAGGCTTTCTTCAAACTTGAATGTGGTACGCAGTATTTTAGGTCATTAATTTTGTGGGTGGGCAACTTATTGAATTCTCAGTCGGTGCTGCCTTAAATCCCAACCAACATTTCACTATTTCAGCTATTCTTCTTCCATTTTAGTAAGTTAACAACAAACTAATTAAAGAAAGTTGGGGGAAGGTTGGTGTGGCTGATATAGTAAGTTAACAACTTGTTTCACTTTTCAACGATTCTTTCTACCTTCACGGAATTTCATTTGAGCTTTTATAATCTGTACCGATAAAGTTGACTATGATCAAATTTAGGTTTACATGTCTAATGGTTTTGGAGGGTAATTTATAGATGTGAAGATTACTGGAATAAGTCCCTACAGTTCGATTATAAAAAATTTATAGAAAGTTGGCCTTCATCAACGTAAATAAAAGAGTTTACATCTCATATATATATGTACCCCTGCCAGTTCATATTGCTATATATAGAGACAGGACTTTCTCTGCTTTGTTGGTTCTCCCACAGGAGATAGAGAGAAAAGGTTATTGATCACTTTCAGAACAGAGAAAGTAAGAAAGATGTTGAGGTTGATTACAGGAATTCCAGGGCCAAGCGGGTTTGGGTCAGCCTCCACTGCTGAGCAGGTCACTCAAGGCATTGATGCCTCAAACCTCACTGCAATTATTACAGGTCTTGTTCTTCCCCATGCACGTCTATTTCGGTGCTTATGTACTTTTAGCTTTTCTTGATCTATTGCTTGCAGACCAAATTGATGGATACCTTGTCTTTGACTTTTATTAATGTATAGTATAAAGTAGTACTGTATAAATATCTGTTCTTCAATCTTTATATCTTGTGTAACTATTGGAATCCTATTTGCTTTTCACGAGTTGTTGTCATTTATTGAATTTTACATCTGAAGTATTTAAACTGGCCTGATCAATGAGTTTAGTCAAGTTAATTATCCATGGAATAACATTGTAGAAGTTCATAAACTCTTTCAATCTAAACGACAGATGCATGAGGAAGGTTAAAGATCACCATACCTCCAGAAATTTGTTGAGTCCCTCCTTAATTGAAAGATTCTACAGATTGTTAAGATTTTATGGAAATGTTAACGATTTTCTAGTTGCGTGAAGAAAATTTTATAGTTATCTAGAAAACATTAGAGAATGATAGATTTTTCCATAAATGCTTTAGACTGATTCCAAGAACGTTTAGAGCAGCAGAACAATGAGAGTTCTATAGAACATTCTTGATAAGTGTGGTATTATTTATTCTTCCCAAACATTATGGGAGCACGTGGAGACTTCGTGGAAGATTATAGAGAATTGTGACGTGTAGGAAGTTCTATAGAAGGCTTAATACATAAATAAATACTAGTAGTATCATTGTTTGTAATTGCGCAATGCAATTGCGCCTCATGGCGCGCCTCAGCTAATTCCTAGACTATGGCGTAAAAGGCATTGCAATGGCGTTGGGAGTGTGGCGTACGCAATATTGCACTGAGGCGTACGCAATAGGAGAACATCAGGGTGTAAGGGTATTATTTGGGTCCACTCGGCCCACTTTTAAAATTTTATAATTGATGTTATGATCCCTATTTCAAATCACTAGTTATTGATTGGATTTTTTCAGTCGATCAATCTTAAATTCTCATATCTTAGATTTTTTTATAAACGATTCAGAAAGTTTTGGTATTCTATGGTACTTTGAAGTTTGAACATATTACTTTGCAAGGACTGTGGCCTCTTATGATTTGTTTTAATATAACATTTGACGACTTTTGACAAATATGTTTATTTTTTATTATGTTTATATTATATATATATATATATATATATATATATATATATATATATATATATATATATATATATATATATATATATATATATATATATATATATTACGCCTAAGGCATACGCCTCGTTGCGCAATGAGGCTTACGCAATATGCAATATTCAAAAAACGCCACGACTACGCAATACGCAATTTCAAACCTTGAGTAGTATAGATTAGTATGTGTTGGAGAGAGAGTCCCTCCATTCCTAAACTCCTTGAGGTGGCTTTTAAAGCAGTGAGAGTGCAGATACCTTAAAGAAATGACAAATGAGTAAATCCAAGAAGACTTCTTAAGTCTGAGAGCAGGGGTATCTTCTTGTTATAGAGTGTGGGCGAAGAATGATTTGATAGCCCAATATTTTTCATGAATTCAAATGAGGTAGGGTGAGATACTCACATGTACACAGTGATGTGAGCTCCCCTTACAATAATTAAACCATCTCTTCTGCAATGTATAATACAGAGTTGCTTTCTCATATTGTGTCTTTGTGTTAGTGAGTGTTTCAACAAAAATACAAGTTTTCATGCATGCTCGTAGAATTGAGAGAAGTTGATTTATCGAACATCATTGCTTACGGTCTCTTTTAAACCTTTCCTCCTCTCTCTCCAATAGTATCAGTATTGAACATATAAAGATCAGGGTAGGTAAAGGTGTAAATGTTGGACAGCGACAGTATGGACATTGAAAGCGTTAAAGGTGCTGAACATTGAAGATGATTAAGTGCGGTGAATGTAATAGATGGTGATGTTGGACATTGAAGATGGTGATGACTTTGAATCCATTTGTTTTAGGGTAGTAATTGAGGTCTGAGGAGGTTGGGGATGTCAAAGTAGCAGACTGGGTCACAGATGTTGGCAGTTGAGAAATGGTGATGGGTATAAATGGCGACGGCAATGGGCATCAATGGCGATGGAGAATGAGTGGAGATAATGGACATTGATACTGGTGCCAATGGGCAGTGAATGGTTGTGATGAACATTGACGGCGATGATGATGGGCGCTGAGTGATATGGAGGTGGTGGGGCAGTGTGGCTTAGTGAGTCAGTGGCTGGATGCAGTGGAGTTGTATTTTGAGTAATAGGTCAATCAATGTTCAGAGTTCACCTCTTATGTTAGTCATATGAGTATCAGTTATCATGCTAAGTGAACCCGATTATGCCTTTTCCATAATGTGGTAAATTTCTCATTGTGCTTTTGGTGAATGCATATATTTTTTTATCATGCGTAAACATGCTCACTTAAGATTTATAGCCTTGTACATTTCTCCCCTGCCCTTGTATGCTTCCAAGTAAAATTTTGTTTTCGGGGTTTTTATATATATATTTTTTCCGATTTTTTTAAGAACATCCATATCACTGGACCATCAGTAAAACATACTATTGCCTTGATCAATTTGAGAATATTATATTCACCCGTAGCTCAGGTTTGGGGCCTTTTGGCCTCAATCCTTTACACTACTACCCCCACTATTCTCGGCCCCAACAATTCCAGAAGTATGCTTGTTTATCTGTTTTTCACTTTTTTGTTTTCGCATATTCTTACAAAACTTTTGGCAAGAACAGTTTGAATTATTGTCCAAGTTGAACATGGATTTATTTATTTATTTATTGTTGAACCAAGTTGAGCATGAACTAACTCACATGAGGGGGCAAGGCTTGGGAGCACCTTACCAATTTATTGAGTGTATTATTTGGACTTTACGTGTGTTTTTGTGTATCGGGCACAACTGACACTTGTATAGCCTATGAGTACGTTAGAAGAAGTGGATATTTTAAAATGTATATAAAAGATTTCAGAGATATAGAAATGGAACAGATGCAGATTTAGGCAAATGGCTATAGCTTATAAATAACACTGTTGCTGGGCTAATAAAGATTCTTACTCTGTAATTGGGTTGTTAGACACTCTCATCAAAATTGAATGACCACAGGTGGTGCAAGTGGGATTGGTTTAGAAGTGGCAAGAGTTTTAGCCCTTAGGAAAGCACATGTCGTTATCGCAGCAAGAAACATGGATGCTGCAAGAGAAGCAAAAGAGCTCATTCAGAAGGCTAGTAGCACCGCGTCTGTTGATATTCTTAAGCTTGATCTCAGTTCATTGAAATCTGTTAAGGCATTTGCTGACGATTTCAAAGCTCTTGGCCTTCCTCTCAACATCCTGATGTAGCCTACCTCTTTTGCCATCCACTTCACCGCATTACTAATGTTATTAGCATCATCTAATGATGCTTAGCATCTTTTGACAGCGAAAAGTTGATTTTGCTTTGTTTTGTTTTGTTTTAGAAACAATGCAGGTGTCATGTTCTCTCCATTTCAGCTCTCAGAAGATGGATATGAGATGCAATTCGCTACAAACCATCTTGGTAATTAAACATATGGAGTATATTTTTTGCGTAATTATTGACTTCTATTAGAGTAGTCCCTCAATAAAATAGGACGGATGACAGAGTTTATAAGATCATCGATTGAACTAGCTAATCAATCTCTTAGTAATATTTGATCATTTTCTTTCGAACTGTTCTTTAAAATGGTACTGATGCTTTTATTTACAGGCCATTTCTACCTGACAAACCTTCTTCTAGAACAGATGAAGGAAACTGCAAAAGCTACAGGTGTGCAGGGTAGGATTGTGAACTTGTCATCTGTAGCTCACCTTTACACTTACAAAGAAGGCATCTGGTTTGACAAGATCAATGATGAAAGCTGGTATATACTACCACTGTCCCTAAAATGTTTGTCAAGTTATCTCTTTTTCTGTAAATTTTCAAAATTCGACCAATAATGTCTTTGTTATGCTAAATGATTTGTCATATGTTAAGTAATATAAAAAATTTATGGTTAAACATACTATGTTAAAATTATAAAATCTATAGTTATCACTAAGATATACTCCGTATTGATTAAAGACATGAGTCAAAACCAAAAAGCTCAGTATGTGACATTCCTTTATGGCCTGCATGCTTGTCTTTCAGTATTTGAAAAAATATAACAAAAAATTCTTGCTTATTAGCTACAGTAATTGATGGATGAACCCTACTCAATGCTGATCACTAGCTGTTCCGTTTTTGAAATTAGCTACCATGAAAAAATGGCATATGGGCAATCCAAGTTAGCAAGTATATTGCATGTCAATGAGCTCTCTCGCCGCTTACAAGTAAAGTCTGTTCTGTTTCTGGTTTCCGTAATATTTTCTTTTCGACTAACCTGTTGAAGTGAAGTCCTATCTTTTGTTCGTATCGCTTTCTTAATTGCAATGATATCATTGTAATGTTTACTCTTCAAATGCTTTGAAATGCAGAAAGAGGGAACTAATATTACTGTGAACTCCGTGCATCCAGGGTTGATAATGACTAATCTTATGAGACATTCTGTTCTTTTTACAAGTATGTATATGTCCAATATAATCCTGGATATTACTTAAACCATTGGAGCATTGTTTTTGTTATAGGCGTTTATATTTCCTCTTTTCCTTCCCTTTGTTGCTGCAGGAATTATGAAGCTGTTTACCTGGATGCTCTGGAAGAATGTCCACCAGGTGAAATTACCAAACAAACCTTAAAAAGTAAAAAAACAAGAATAGGATTCCTGAAAATTTTGGAGTAGCACCAAAATGCTAGAGAAAAGGCGAAATAAGTCCTTGAACTATCAGCAATTCTGCATTTAGACCCTGAACCAGATGACCTTACAAACAAACCACTCAACTCATTGAAAAAAGTAGAGCCCTTTTTTACCTACCAGTGCTGGTAAGTGGTAACATCCAACCAACGGGTTACAAAGGATTCTTTTCAGTGGATTGAGTGGTATATTTGTAAAGTATCCAGTTCAGGAGCCAGTTGCAGAACCACTAATTGTCCCATGGTTTATTTGACCCTTTTCTCTAAACGATATTTTGGCCAAAAGTCCAAAACCATTTGACTTGACAACTTGAATTATGCGTACATTCCCCAAGAGTCATTGTGTAATTTATTAAGTTAAATAAGCAGTGTTATGAAATGTAGACTGAATGGTTCAAATGATAAAGAAGGAAACCAGACATGTGACCATTCTTGTCATTGCGACATATCAATAACTCTCCTCTCATGTTTCATGTCTCATGATCAACTCCGTGGATTACTTAATTACACTTCTTTTTCACATGAAATCCAGGCTGTGAAGATAGACTAATCTGTTAGATTTTCAATTAGTATATCAGCAGGACAATTAAGAATAATAAGGGTACTAAGTTGCTTTATTCAATAAACATCCATATAAACAATTAAGATATTGCATGTTTTCATGTGTAATTGTTTTTGTAGATCTGATTGTTCATTTGTTTGCTGCACTATATGAATAGCGGCACGTAATAATCATAGTGTATAAATCAGGATAACAATACATATGTACATTTTGATCGATCAGGGGGCGGCTACGACATGCTACGTTGCACTCCATCCAGCCCTGAAAGGTGTTACTGGAAAGTACTTCCTGGACTGCAATGAATACGAGCCAAGCAAGTTTGCCAAAGATGAAGCTCTTGGAAGGAAGCTTTGGGATTTCAGTGACAAGCTGGTTAAGGCAGCTCAAAGCAAGTGAAATAGTAGATTGATCTTATTTTCTTTTTGTTTATTTTCTCTCTTTTTCTTTCATAGGCTCTTTTATTCATAGTCATTAAAAATTTCGTGGAGAATGTAAAGATTTTGATCAATTTTTAGTTTTCTTGAAACTATTAAATAAATAAGACTTTCTAAGTTAAAAATCAACAAGTTTTTCAACAGGCATTAAAATAATACTACAAATTCTAGATTTCATTAATACTAATCTTAGCTTTGTCAAAAAAGAATTAATTCTAATCTTAGCACATTAAATGTGCACAGTCTAAGGAGAAATTATCACATACGGAGTATATAAAGAGTTGGATATGTGAATAAGGGTATTTTAAATAGGGCTTTTTCCTTCAATATTACCAAATTAAAGGCAATTTCTAAAAAAGTGACCATTTTTATAAAACGACAAAAAAGTGACTAAATAGGTCATATATTTCGAAAAACTTGATGTAACCACAAAATTTTATGTCACTGCAAAAAATTATGTCACTACTATACGTCACAATCACATTTTTATGTCATTATTGCTACGCTGATGTCACTGAAGCCAACGTCGATGTCACTGAGGGGTGTCACTTTTTTCGGTAAAAAACGTATACTTCAACCAAATATGCTCGCCACCCCGTCTGCACTGCCAGAGCATCACCACTGTCCCACCCACACACCGTCACTGCACCGCCGTAGACACTGTCCCTCCGGTGGGTGATGTCGCTGGCCACTGACCACTGGCCGGTACGTCATCCAGCACAGCTATTACCAAACAATCCCCACCAGCCCCCATGGATGCCACCAGCCTCAATCGATGCCCTCCCAGCCCCTTGTAGCAGACCAACCCCTCCCTGGACCTAGCCCTCTCTTCAGCATCCCCAATCGTCACACCCCATCCCACAACCATATCCGTTGCCTAAATCAACCTCACCACCGCCCAAATCAACGTCACTGCCGCCCAAATCAACGTCACTGCCGCCCAATTCAACCGCGCCACAAGGATTCGAAATTTCACGTTGATTTGGATGAGGCGGCGTATGGCGGAGGTTGGAGACAGAGAAAGCGTGCAGGGACAAGCTTGGCGGAGGTTGGAGACGGAGGTGAGGCTTTTGCGCCTGGGGCGAAGGACTTTAATTAATTTGTAAACTTCTTTGGAGCTGCAAGCCTGGGACGAAAGGGAAGAAAATGCGCAGATCTGGGTCTTGTTGCGGAAGACTCACGCGAAAGACACAGGGGAGCCGATCAGTTTTTTTTTGGAAAATATAAAGTGGTCATATTTTTGGAATTAGAAACTTGTGGAGTAATATTGATGCCATTATTTCTTTTAAATAAGGGTATTTTCGTCATTCAACATTAAAATATAAACATTTTTTTTTGGGATTTTCGGTCATACAAAAGTCCAAAAACTAGTTAGATCATAGATTGGGAAACTCATTGAGTTTTAGTCATATCCTAGGAAATTTCCCTATTTGGGTGAGGTGGTGAGCGCATCTGCTACTCTGCTGGACGGCTGTCAATTTTGTTAGCTTCGTATTTAGGGCCTGTTTGGTAACGGCTGCAACGACTGATTTGGCTGAAAAGACTGAAAAGACTTTATGTGCTGAAGTGGAAGTGTTTGGTAATATGTTGGCTGAAATGGCTTATTGTGTGTAAAATTACTATAAAGGGTATTAGCTTGTCTGTGTTAGATGTATGAGTGTAAATTTTACTAGTAAATTAATTTTGCTTGATTAGGTTATTATTAGTCTGCTTAATTAACTTATGAGTAAATTAATTTAAAAAATACACTTTCAAATTTAAATAAAACATATGGAGTATTAAAAAGCTCAAATGCACTTATATTAAAATAAAACGAAACAAAAATACACATAAAGTAGTTAGTGGAGTTTGTTAGAATTTTACTTAAATCCCAAATAATAAAGTATTTAGCACTACTTGTCTACTTGATGACAGAGCTTTTGATCCGGAGCACCCAAGCAAGTTTTCGAGACTACATGGAGCGGCATATGAGTATGTGACTTCAGATATGAAAACAACGTTTACTTCAGGTATAATAGAAGGGTTTAATGCACCAAACCCCCTCGTAAAATATAAATTTGGCACATTAGCCCCCTGTGATTTAAAAAATGCGTGAAACCCCCCTGTGTTATAATTAATCATGTGCCAAACCCCCTCTAAGAACAAATTTAATTTCCTAAAAGTGAAAAATGATTACTTTTTTTGTATAATTTGGAAATTTTGACAAAGTTACTTGCATATTCAACCATATTATTAAAAAAACTGATTTCAAAACTGTAAAATTTGTTCTTGAAGGAAGTTTTGCGCATGATTAATTAAAACACAAGGGGGTTTGATGCATTTTTTAAATCACAAGTGGCTAATGCGTCGAATTTATATTTCACAAGGGGGTTAGACGCAATTAACCCTGTAATAGAAGGTAAAAGGGTCTTTTGGGTTACCAACCGTACAAAAATATAAAACAGCTGAAAAAGTAACTAAATTATTGTTTTTTCAGCTGATAATAGAAATCAGCCCAAATAGCCAATTGAGCAAGTGTTTAATGATTTTTTTTATACTTTCAGGCTTATCACCCCATTTTGGGTGCTCCAAACGGCCTCTTAATTTTTTCCATAAATTGAGTGCTTCTTATATTTATTGTTTTAAGTACGAACCATATGGAAGGTTCTTGTTAGGGGTGGGCATGAAAAACCGTAACCGATTAACCGTACTAAATAACCGAAAACCGGTGTTTTTCACGGTTAACCATATCGTGTTTTTAAAAATTCACGGTACGGTTAACCAACCGAAAGAAACAACGGTTCACGGGACGGTTACGGTTATGAAACTAAACTACCACCGGTTAACCGATAATCTAAATATCACATCTAAACTAATGTCAGTCAAGTATTGCATGACTCACATGTGCATTAAACCGTTAATATTAGTGAATAGTGAGTAATGTTAGAGTCAGCAAAAAGTGGTGGTTTATTGGAATCAGAGCTATATTATTGTTATTAATATTATTAGTAGTTATTAATTAATTAACTTGTCATACGGCACAATCACAATTAAGGCATGTCTTGGAACACTATATATACAACGCTTCGGTACATAATACGGAGTACTAGTTTTCCCTACAGGGAGTACGTTTTTTAGTTAAATCGGGTGTTTTTATCTAATTTTCAATTTTCATCCCACTTCCCTTCAAACATTAAAAAAATTAAATTAAAAAAAAAGTAGTAGAGAATATATGGGAAAACCTTCTACGGGAGCCTATATTGGATTCTTACGGGTCAACGAAATCTCTCGGAGTAAATGTTCAATTATAAGAGGCGGCACATTTGTAGTTGTTCAAATGGTTTTTTGGTTAACCAATAATTGGTTAACCTATATTACGGTTAATTGTTACCCGGTTAACCGATGTTACGGTACGGTTAATGATATTATAGAAATATTAACCGAAAACACGGTTAACCAAAAAATTGGTTAACCAAAATGCGGTTAACCAACCGTGCCCACCCCTAATTCTTGTAGTGAGGCTGGGAGTGAGTCAGGGAGTTCTTGGTGCTGATAAGACACTTTTGTGGAATTATGACAAACAAATATTACCTAAATTATTCATTTCGTATTTATTGGACGTAGATATTACCTAAATTATTAAAATTTATTTTTTTGTTTGACGTTTCCTTGTCGTACCCGTATCTTGATATTTTGAGATGGGAGTTTCCTCGTTTCCGTCCCCGTTTCCGTTTTCATTTCCGTCCCGGTGCTACTTAGTATGTGATCATCTCCTATGTAAAATGTATCACGTAAACTTGTCTCTTTAAAATGTTCATATTTCTAGTAAGTCGTGTATTCTATTGGTGAAATTTCTGACTTGAATCTTAGATTAGATCAAATTAAACTTGAACAAAATAGATTTAGACAACAATAAGATATATAAAACCTAGACTTTTATCAGATTAGAATCTAAATGCAAATGAAAATATTCTTACGTGAATAATGAGATGAAATTTAACTTTGTTTGGACGAATGGTTGAAATGAGTATAAATGGGAAGAAATGAACTGAATTAGAACGTTGATGCATCTAACGTTTCTTTGGGCCAATCATTTAATTCCCAAATTGTCATGGTTGCTATTGCTTCTCATGCTTCATAGATTAGCTGAAGGTAGAAGATGATTCAGAGATTAGCTCAAGGTGAACATAGCTGAAGTCGGCCAAGCTGAAGGTGAATGTAGCTGAAGTTGTGAAGTCGGTTGGAGCACCCAGACCCGCCTAAACCCGTGAAGTTCTGGTGCGCCTAGAGATTTGAAGTTACTTCTACTTTTAGACTAATTTTTCTTTGTGTTGGTTTTTACTCTGGACATCGTGTGCAAGGGCGGATCTGCCGGGGGGGGGGGCAGGGGGCTGGTGCCCCTGCTTCAGCCGTACGATATAGGGTATAGGTAAGGTTGGTGGGACGCCGGACTGGTCCGTTCCATTTTTGCCGGCGCGCTTTGGAGCATGGAGTAGTTATGCTGACAGGGACGATCGATCAAGGTATAAGCCGTCGATTGTGTTTTAAGTTACATGACGAAACGACGTCGTTTGGAGTCCAAGGGAAAAAATAAGATAAAGGTTCGTTTAGGCCAAGGCAGGCCCAAAACTTCACAACCCAAATGAAGCCTTACCAAGCCAAGAATGGCGCCCAAATGCCCCAAATGCACTTACTCATTACGTAGAAGCAGTAGAGGTGCAGAGCCATCGGCCACGCCGTCACACCGGACCGCGTCAGCTGCCAACCGCCGTCTGCCGACCTATTTTGTCCCGTCATCCGCCCCCATCTTCCGCAAACCTGTTCGGTAGGTTTTCTGTTTTTGGTTTTCCCATTTTGGCCTTTTTTAATTAAATTAAATATTTGATATTTCATTATTGAATTTTTACAATTCTTAAATATGATTTGAAATATACGTAGTGTAAAATAGTGTGAATCAAATCTAATGATTATGTATTAATGTATTATTCGTATGAAATTATGAATTTGTAATAGTTTGAAATAATTATTTTTGTTTTCGATAAATATTATTAGGGAATGTCAATTGGGAAATATTGTCCCCGGACTAAAGCACTGATAAGATGATTAAGACTTGGTGCTAATTATTCAAATTTTATATTCGAGCTACACCATAATGAAGTTGGATTTAGTACCATCACGTTAATGATTTGTGCCCCCGCTTACAATGTTTTCTAGTTCTGCCACTGATCATGTGTTTTTGTTTGCTTTTGTTTTTATTTTTGTCAAGACTCTAAAACATAGGATAGGTGATGGGGAGTTTAGTTTACCAGTCATTGGTTCAAGTAAGCGCAATTCAGGATCAGCGAATCTGGTTGCTTTTTTTGAGGTGCCAGGTTCCAGCTTCCAAGTCTGGTTCAAGGGCGGATAGTAGACACTGGAATCTTTGTTTGATTGTATCCTGTTTACGTCCTTTCTTAATAATATAAGTCATCTTCTTTCAAAAAAAAATCTACACGGAAACTTAAGGTCCTATTTGGCACCATTTCCCTTTAAAACACGACAAATTATACCCTACAACCGACACACTATGAGGATGGTGTGCCCGGTGCTAAAACTACACGGAATACTTACGCAAGCTAAAAAATGCATGAACCAGGCTATGCGCCTCTGCACTTCGATTTAATTTTGGATGGAAGCATAGGGTCTGCACCTTCGATTTAAAAACAGTCCTCATGGTTGTTTTTACTTTCAATTTCGACATACGTGCCCCCCATGTTTCAATTTCGAAAGTTTGTCATGTATCGCTTTTGTCAAATTTTCTGCAATATGAATGTTAGTTAGTTGGATTTTATCGGATTTCAATTTGTTTTTACTTGATTGGATTTTGAGACTCATCAGAACCAGAATCGATCAATGCAGACCTATTTTGTTGAAGATGAGTGTTATGAATTATTTTAGATCTTCCTCAATTTACATCTTGAGTATACTCAAGTTACATCAAGATTTGTCTAAAGTTACATATTCAAGTTACATCTAATTTGTTTCCAAGTTACATTTCAATTAAATCAGTTTACATCTCAACGAGTTACATGTGAATGAGTGTATTTACATATTAATGAACTTGAAGTTACATATAAAATCACACGAGTTACATTTCATGTAGTCATCCGGTTGCACGGTATACAGACTGTAAAAATACCCACACATGAATTCTAGAATCATTTTTACTCATCCGATCGAATCCAATTATTATACTCCGTATGATTATTCAAGTCACTGATTCTTATTTCAAAAATATGATTTTATCTGATAAATTCTATCATGCTTTTTATGGATTAATGAAACTTTTATTGTAATTTCGAATGTGTACTAATACTAGAATATATATTATTTTGGATGGATTAATTTTGTTTTGTAAAGAACTGTTGACCAAATCATTAAAACTTTGATAATTTATTTAAAAGCTGCCTGGTAGACAAACAATTAGAGGGGTGTACACAAAAGGTGTACAAAATATGTGTACACCAAGAATAGTTCAAAGTACAAACATGTGCAACTGTTGCCTTTGAAGGTTGAGAAATTCATTGTATACACACTTTATTGTTGTAGATATTTTTACATGTCTGTGAATTTTTTTTTTATCGGTCAAATATAAAACATGTTTTGTCTGTGTAGACAAGCGAACTGTGTTGTCTACTGGGCTGTTTGGCTTGGGGATTTTTTTTTTCAAATTTGTTAGATTTTTTAGAACATTTATAAAGTAATATCACAACATTTTAAAAACAATTCATGTACTCATTAACATAAGAATATGTTTTCATGATATACAATAACGATTTTGAAAAAAAATCCAAATGGATTAGAATTATAGGAGCAGCCGCATGGGTCTTCTTTCTATTATAGGAATAGTTTGATAACATACGGAGTATGGTATTAAAGAATTGGATTGGGCCGATTGAATAATAAAGAGTTCAAAAATGGTGTTCACACACACTCTTATACACACTTTTGTACACACCTATGTCTGTGAAAGCTTTTTTTTTTCTGTGAACATCGATTCACAGACAATATTTTGCACAAACAAAATATTGTTTGTGAACTGGATTCACAGACAAAAAAAGCTTTACAAACATAGTGTGTATAAGGTGTGTACAAGAGTGTGTACATCAATCATTGATCTCTAGACAACTCTTCACCACACAATACTCACTTTTCTTTGGACTCTAAAGTTTAGAGATTGAAAAGAAATCTGTATGTGTGTGTGTTATGTACTTACTCCGTTCTTATTATATCTTCCAACTTTTCTTTTTCATCTGTTCCAATTAAACTTCCAATTTCCCTTTTTGGTAAAGAATTTGTTATTCACAACATTCTTACACACTTCTCTTTTCTCTGCACAACTCTTCACCACACAATACTCACTTTTCTTAAATTGTGTGCCAAAGTGAAATAGAAGATATAATAGGAACAGAGGGAGTATTAAATATACAATTATATATTATACTCCATATATACTACTTGTATATACTTTACGGGTCGGGCTTTTAAGCTCGCCCGGACCTATACTAAAACTCAAATATGCCCAATTTTTTAACGGGCCGTATGAAAGCCGACACGGTGGGCAAATATATATGTCCAAAGTTCAAACCCGTTCATCTGTGTGGATGGGTGGGGCGGGCTGATTTGGTGCAGGTTTATCAGCAAATATAAAAAATTCTAGTAGTGATTATATTTATTATACATCGTTTTTGTGAATGAATCATGTAATAGCCTAGTTAGTTAAATACGGTACGAGAATTAAATGAGGTTTAAGATGTACACATTTTATTCGGTAATATGAATGAAAAACAGTCAAATATTCGTCAAAAAAACGTTGACTTTTAAAAATGTGTAAATACGTGTACACGTATAATACGGTATCTGTTACAAAAATTCGGACAAAAAATACGGGTATTATTTTGAACATTCAAATTATACACTTCACAAAATAACATTCCGAGTATATAGTAAAAGGAAATAAAAGATACACACATTCAAGTAGAAAATCTCATTACTACATAAAAGAATACTTAGTAAATGCATAAGTCGATGACAAAAATAAAATAGTAATTAAGTTCAAGACATAATTTTGCAAAACAATGTCAAAAAATAAGGCCTAATAACAATAGAATGAGAGTCCATTTGGTGACTCTGCTTTTTTGGCTTATCAGACTTATCAGTTAATTTTTTAACCAAACACGTAACTTTTGATTTCGCACGTTGAATTCTGTAATAATAAGAAAATGTAAGGTTGAAGTTACTTTTCTGACTGTATTGGATTAATTTATTGTAGATGACTATTTTAGTTATTTTTTCATACAATTTTTTATTTATTTTATAAATAAAACATATTTTAAATATAATTGTTTCATAAATCAGCAAAATCAGCCAATACAGCGGTTTTAGCCATAATTTCATAAATTTTAGCTGAATTGATTGATTCAACCGATTTCAGTGTTGCCAATCGGGCTCTAAGGCTAAATGAAAATCATTATCTTTATATGATCATCAAATAACACTGAAGTTTAACTCATTATTTTCATCAAAATGACAGATGCCACATGAGAAATTATTTGCGACTGTTACGCTTGTTATTGTTTATGTGTAAAAGTTTATACTAAAACAATATCAGGTTTAGAAAAACCTTAATTTTGATATGTTTGTTTGGAAAAATATTAGAAATCTAGTATGTAGTATTTTAAATTTTAGTCTTTTAGGATGCTAACTTTAGCCGCAGTGCAATTAATTTTAGTATTTCATTATTATATTGTAACAATACAAAAATATAGGGTTACGGGGAGGATGTTTTCATTTTTATTTTTAAACTAATGTTGATCTCCTATGCATTTTAATGATTCATTCAATTAATCAATTCATGTTTCTGTTTTTTGTAAATAAAAAAAAATACGTTTTATACGAAAAGTAGTAAGAGTCTGTTTCCTTTTTAAACGGACCAACATTATTTTTCGTTTTAAAACGTGTTTTTTTAGTCATAAAATGATATGTGTTTAAAACACGTTTAAAATGCAAAAAGGCTAACTACACATAATAGTAGAGGTCTTGTGGATTTTCCATTACCGTTAAAGGTTTTCTATCCTCCACATAAGTCCTTCATTTCATGGGGTACCTTCTTCAAAGTGTTTTTTTGACTGGAAAGGCATTTTGTAGCTTCCCTTTGCGTGAACTTCATTCAAAAGTAATGATTGAAGTGTGAAATAATAAAAGATTCAAATTGAACAGCAGCAGGGCCGGTCTTGATATAGGGGCTAGTTGGGCGGCTACTCAGGGCCCATGGGGAGGAGGGATCATAAATTATTTAGTAGTTATATATATATATATATATATATATATATATATATATATATATATATATATATATATATATTGAGTCTTGTTCACCTCAGGCGCACTTGATCAGGAGTTCTATATGGTCAAACTCATTTGAGGTGCTTCCAGATGAAATTGTTTGGTTAAAGTTTGTGAGCATATTTTTCATTAAGCGTAGATTACGTCCACAAAATTTAACTTAAAACTCACTCGGGAAGTCTGTTAAATAAATTATTGAAAATCAGTGCGCTTTATATATGTTTAAAAAGCGCAATATTTTTCAATAATTTATTAAACTAACTTCCCAATTGAATTCCAAATTGAAATTTTGTGTAAATAATATAATCTTTATGAAGAATATCCACACAAAAATGATCAAAAAATTCGAATTGAAAGCTTCTCAAATGGGCTTGTCTATACGGGACATCTTGTCAGGCGCACCAGACAAGATCATTTCCCTATACTCTAATAGTCTGTAAAAGATATCCCTCAATCGTCATATCCGTAGACCGAGCCACAACAAAAGAGCTACACACGGAACACGACTGGGTGACTTTCTACCTTCCTCACAGAAGTTAGGAATTAAAAATTGATAGTATGACCTATGATACCGAGTAGTTCTATGAACAAAAACATTTACTTGTGTAACGAATTTTATTTTTGAGAATGAAACTTTTGTAATATATTCTTACATCATACTAATATATAATTAGGGGCCTATTTTTTGCCTTTTGTCCCGGGCCTATAAATTATCAAGACCGACCCTGAACAGCGGAATTCCCAACAAGCCATGAGACACCAAAAAAGATTCAAATTGTTTATGCCACGAAAGATAATCCTCAACCCCGTGGTGAGAGGAGAGATTTGCTAGAGGGCTGGGAGTTACCATGGAAGAGGCCATGTGCATAAGGGGCGGCGGGTCCAACGTGGCGATGTGCGGATGACCAGCCCACGTCAGGCCCGAAAACACAGGTAGTGATGATGACGCACGAGCTGACGACGCTGATGGCGTCTGCAGTGAAGGAGGCGGCAACGTGGCGATTGTAGGTGTCCAAGTAAATGACTCTGGCATGTTAAAAAGGCTGTATGAATTTAATGGAGGTAGCGGAAGTCACGAAGAAGATAGCCCAGGTGACATGGTTACGCCGGAGAGGGTTGGCTGCTCCGGAAAGAGAGTGGGCGCCGATGTTGAAGCTGCAGCTAGGACTGAGTACGAAAAACCGAAAACCGAATCAAATTAAACCGAACCGCGACCAAATAAAACCGAACCGCTAAAAACCGAAACCGAGTGTAAAAAACCGAACCGAACCGTAGTAGTTTGGTTCGATTTTGGTTTTTACCCTTCAAAACCGAACCGAACCAAACAAACCGAACATATATAAAATATGAAATTTTCTTTGTTAAATGTAAGCATTAATTTTAATATCATCAATAATCTTTGAATTTCTTTTGCTAGAGAAATAATGTTTATGCTATGTTTAATTTAGTTTATAAATGCATATACACATTTATTGCTCATAATAATGTAGCTATATTGATCTATTGTGTCTTTTATGTATGTATGTTGCAATTTGTTGCATGATTATATGTTTTTACTAGTTATTAGTAGTAATTAACTTTTATTTTTATGTAACTTAATTCTTTTTTGTAAATTAACTTTTTTATATTGATAAAACAAATAAATATTCATCTCGGCTAAATCACACATGGCGTATGTATTCATAAACGTTTTTCAAACTAGTCACAAACATTGTAAATTAAGAATAGATGCACACTTTTATCTCTCCCACATACTCATATAATTCAAGACATATTTGTTTATTATTATTTTCTTCATTTGTTCAAATATGGTTGCATTTTTATGTAATATGTTTGATCCCTCCAACTTTTATATCAATTTTAAATTAAATGAAAAATATTTAGTAAAAACCGAAAAAATCGAAACCGAACCGAAACAAACCGAACCAATCAAACCGTGATTTGAAGTTTTGGAGTGTAAAACCGAACCGAAACCAAACCGAACTTTTACTTTGGTTCTGTATTTGGTTTTAGGTCAAAACTGAACTGAAAGAACCGAACCCAACCCTAGCTGCAGCGGAGAGAGTTGGTGAGATGACGGTTGTTTTCGGCCGAGAGTGCAGCGGCTGCACCAAGGAGATGGGCGACAAGTTTGATGGAGGAGCTATGCTCGACATTTGAGTATTAGGGTTAGAGAACTTTTTCTACTGATACCATGTGAAATAATAAAAGTGAAGAATAATGGCTTGCCGTTGTGATAGTCCTAATGATGTATTTATATTAATCAAGAGATAAATAATTACATTTAGGTCATCAATGCCACTAATAATAATAACACGCTATTATGGAGTCTTGATCAAATCATGTTTTGGGGGACTTGATTTGATTTTGTTACGGTTTCACTTTCATGATTTATTTCTGAGAAAAGGTGCAAATAGACTCATGTACTAATCAAAAAAGGTTAAATAAGTCCTTAATTAGGAGGCTCTGTCCGGTCGTCATCATTTGGGTGGTTCTCGGTGGATTTTTTTGATGAAATTATTTGAGAATCTTAGTCATTAAGTCCAGTTTACTCATACCAAATTTCAGCTAAAACCTCAATCGGGAAGGCATTCAAATGAATTCTTGAAAATATCTGCGCAATTAGAAGCACAGTTATCTTCAAGAATTCATTTGAATGTCTTCCCGATTGAAGTTTTAGCTGAAGATTGGTATGAGTAAACTAGACTTAATGAATAAGATGCTCAAAAACATTCATCAAAACATTCTACCGGGAACCACCCCAAATGGCGACGGCTGGACAGAGCCTCCTAAATAAGGACTTATTTGACCTTTTTTTGTTAGTACATGGGCTTATTTGCACTTTTTCCCTTGATTTCTTGAATTGTAGATAAAAAAATAGGAACTCTTCATTTAATTTTTGAATTTTAGATAAAATAGTAGATAAAATTTGATCCAATAGTATGGATTAGGAACTCTTCATTTAATTTTGATCCAGTCTGTATGTGTATATTCTGATTACCAAGATTTGTATGAATAGTTTAATACTCCGTAAAAAAAATATTTGTTCACTAAAGAAAGTAAAACTCATGCTCAAACGTGGGTTTTGTTTAATCTAAATCTTTATTCTTTGTGATCATTATAAAATAATAATTTATACGTCTCATTGAAATTTGTTAACTTTATTTTTTTTATTTATTGTAAAAACTTTGTCATTAAAAATTGGAATATTATGATGCAACGATGACGTCAGCACGACGTCAGATTACCAAAAGCAACCTATCCTAAATACTATCATTTGGGAAAATGGAAACTAATAATAATCCAATCTTTTAGTGGTTTTCTTACAATAGTCTCACATTTTGATTATTCAGGAATAATCCAACATTTGCACCCCAACTTCATTCAATGGTCCCTGACTGGTAGATGACCTGCTATTCCAAGTTATTTTCTTATCTTTGCTAAACATTATGTGACCATAAGGTGAGATTTATGGTATAATATATTGCAAGGATAAAAAAATAACTTGAAATAGCAGATCATCAACCGGTGAGGGACCATTGAATGGAGATGAGGTGCAAATGTCGGATTATTCCTGAATAATCAAAAAGTGGACTATTGTAAGAAGACCGCTAAAAGGTTGGATTATTTGTTTCCATTTTCTCTTTATACTTAACCACTTAACCCCTTTTATCCCCTTTCTCACTTTTAAGTTTTAATACACATTTAGTACCACTAAACACAAATAGTACAAATGACTAAATGTGAAATTTTTGAACTCCTAATACCTCACCACTCCAAATGATCTAACGCCTTCTAAAACACTCACAATTACTACAAATTTTAAAACTTACGAGTAATATATTATGGAGCATATTTTGCCTCAATCAATATGGGCATTTTATATACTACGAATATACTTGTATTTGATTTTTTATATACCCATTATGCATTTGATTTAGCACAAATTGTAATACATGCACTACCAACAACTCTAAAATACTACGTTTATTGGTAATATCAACAATAATATATTGGCATTTGATTTCATATATACCCAATATGTATTTCATTTCAACTCAAATATTGCCAACAACAATACTTGTGAAATGTGATTTGCAACGGTTAATCCAAATTTATCCCGCAAAAGGTAAAAACATTACAAATGAAACCCATACATTGAATGATAAAAGATCAGCACCTCCGCTGCCGGCGCCGGCGAAGATAAGACTGAAAATTTAGCAGACACGGCGGCAAAGGGTGATGCCATCACCGACGGGAAGCTGACAAATTTCAACTCTCGGGTCAGCGGCCAACGCCTTGTTGAATTCCAACACGAAATCTCTGTAGTACCTAACGTACTTCCGCAGCGGTGCATCCGGCGGCGCCACCACCGATCCGTTCCACAGCGTGTTATCATAGCCGATCACTCCCCCCACCTTTACCAAATCGATGAGTCTCGTGTGATAGTTCAAATAGTTGTCTTTGTCCGCGTCTACAAAGATAAAATCATATGTTCCATGATATTTTCCCTGCAACCACAAAAATTATAGCTTTTTCAGTCATGGATTGCTCGTTTGAGTTTAATTGGCTCTTCCTATCTAGAAAACAAACTCTAGGTAAAGAGTACGTTTCGTGCGTTTTTTGAGCAAAAGTTGTAGTATACCGTTTTCTTCGTGATTTTCGAGTTTCCGTGCAACACAGGGCTCTATACTAAATTAGTTAAGGTCTATGATTTTAATTTATCCTGGTCCAAAAAGGTGGAATCTCCCACACAAGGAGTCCTCATACCCCGACCCGACAGGATTTTTGGGAGTATATTAATCACGGTGACTCAGTCGGCCCAATGATGGTAGGCCTTTTTCCAGTGCGCACCAGAGGCTCAGCTCACCCTGCGGGTTTCGAACCTTGGTCACTTGGTCCTGATTTTAATTTATCTAATTCAATTTGTATGTTACCTCTTGGATCATTAGGTCAAGAACAGGGAGTGCTGGGCCTTCTTTGAATTCAATCTTGTGAGCGACACCGGCCTTTTCAATCACTGGGAGACCTAATTCGTAGTTTTCTCTGTTGATATCCATAGCCAGGATCTGCAAATATACACATTCAGGTGAATCATTAAATTTCTAGTTATGTAATATGTTAACGTTTCTTGTATAATTTTGAAATTTTGTTAGTGTTCAACTTAAAGAGCTTAATTGAACTACCTTGCCATCATCAGGGAGAGCCAGGGCAGTGGCCAGAAGAGAGTAACCAGTATAGACACCAATCTCCATGGTATTCTTTGCATCGATGAGCTTCAGAAGCATGTTCAAGAACTGACCTTCATCTGCAGATGTGGTCATTATGTTCCTGCAATATATGTTCTCCAAACTTTAAACATTTGAAACAAATATTGGTTTCATAACATTACCCAGCAGTTTGTAATATAATTATATGTCTCTTATATATGTAAAGCCCTGTTTAACAAGAGATGAAGAAGAATGATTATTCACCATGGGTGGTTAGCTGTGATCTCCCGCAGCTCTTTCATGGCTTCGGGCTCTCTTGGGTATACACTAGTTTCAAGGATATACTGCAAAACAATGCTAATTGTAAGAAAATACTGCTCCAAGTCCATAAAAATTAAAGAGTATCACATGATTCACATAAAAAAAAGCTAAAGAGCTGTGATCATGCATCTCCCCCCAGTCAAGTATATATTATCTTGCTTGTATAAAGTTATTGACTTTTTAGTCTGGAACTCAAAAACTTAGTATGATATCGAATAAACTCAACTGAGTAATCCATCATATTAGGACTCAATAAAGGAATGCATATTATAAGATTGATCTATTCCAACAAGTCACTCGAGGTATGGGTTTACAATTATGCTAGTGAGTCTTAATAAGTTCCATATGTGCTTATGATGTTCTGATCTTCCAGATGAGTTCAGCTAATTCATTAGTTTCAATCTTTTAGGTTAAATTTGGCTCCAGCGCACTTGTTCTACTAATTACTCCTTTAATCATAGTAAGTACTCTCTACGTCCGAGAAAATTCTTCCCACTTTGACTTAGCACGGAGATTAAGAAGGTGAAATAAAGTGAAAATGTGTGTTGTTAGTTGGATAAGAAAAAGGTGAAATGAATGTGAACCACACAACTTGTCCAAAAATGGTAAGTGGAAAGAATTTTTTGGAACGACCCAACAAAGAAAGTGGGAAAAATTTTATGGGAGGGAGTAAGTATATATGTACCTGGTAGAGAGCATCACTTTGCAAGAGGCTCTTGTGTCCAACTTCTTGGTGTCTGCCAGCTTCTCCATTGGTCGCCATTTTCTTCTTCTTTCTAATTTGATGGTGTTTTTTAGTGTTTGAAGATTGGAATTGGGAAGTATAAGCAATTGAGCTATTGAAAGATGGACTTCTATCATTCACTATATATAGATAGATTAATATATGTCGAGGAAAGTAGGTGATTGTTTGGTTTGTGGGACTTGTGAGTGATTTGAAGTTGGTGAGAATTTTTTACCTTCCACTTTTTTTAGCTTAAGTAGTACTCCATACTCCGTATATTTTACTAATTTACTCCGTACTGAAACTAAGTGTTTAGCTTTAAGGGTAGGAAATAGTGTGAAGAAAATTAAAAAAAAAACAAAAAAGTATAAAAAATGAAATTTATGAAGTTCTAGTTGAAGTGACTGGATTAACAGATTCTGTTGATTTATGAAAAAATTATACGGAGTATATAATTTTTTTTATGAATAAAATAAAAAATTATTAAAAATAGATAAAATGATAGCTAATGACTTCAACTTTACTTTTTATTATTATTACACAATTCAATGTGCGAATTCAAAGTTTACATGTTTAGTGAGAATGTTGATGATAAGTCTGATAAATTGAAAAACAGAGTCACCAAACGGGCTCTTATATTACTTGATACATTTATTGACAAAAGAAAACTGAAGTATTAATAAATTTTCATTTATGAAAGATGAATTAAGTCAAATTTAACAGAAGTACGGAGTAGATTATAAAAACTTAGAAACTATCTTATCTTAATTTTATTATGTTTAGGTCAAATCATACTCACCAACCAAGATTGACCCTTCCTATCACCAACCCCTGATATGACCGCTGTGGCCGTCCAAGATTGACATTTGGTATATACGTACGTATACATAACGATGACTGAACTGTCACAATTCGTTGTTTGTTGAATAAATAGATCGATATTTCTGCACACTCTTATGAACATTTTTGTACACATCTATGTCTGTGAAAGTTTTTTTTGTCTGTGAACATCGATTCACAGACAATGTTTTGCACAAACAAAATATTGTCTGTGAACCGAATTCACAGACAAAAAAAGCTTCACAAACATGGTGTGTATAAGGTGTATACAAGGGTGTGTACACAAAATAGATATGGTGCTTTTATTTAATTCAGAACCCCACAAAATAAACTTCACACTTTTCTTTTTGACTAGGTCCAAAATAAATTTTACACTTCTTCTCTCTTCTTTATTTGGCAAATTATCTACATCAAAACAGTATAAAATAGTGCCAAACAGTGTCACAACAGTGTACTCTATATTGTGTGAAGTCAAAGTGTGGAATTTACTTAGGACGAATATGGTGGAGTTATACACTTATACTCCGTATTACCATTTGATCTCAATACATTAATGTAAATTGTTTATTTTTGAAATGTAAATTTAGGGTAAGAAATGCTCAACCCAAAATGGTGGGAGACCGGGAGTATATTCAAAAATACATTCAACACTCTAAATTTATGATTTATGATAACAAAGTGCCTTCGTGTACACGTTTGGTTTTGTCTATGCACATATACTTTTTGTAAGATGAAATGGCTGTGATATAAATAAAAAAATACCTTCGGCACATTAAGAAAATCGTATGTGCCATATAAATTTAATAGTTTTAAACAAACATTAAAAACGATTTCTTGTATAAGGTGTTTTGAGAGAGTTATATTTACATGTCTCAAGGTGGTAGCGAGGGAGTGTCACAAGGGTTAGATCTCGGGTTTGAATCTCGACAACTGCGATGAGAGGTTACTATGCTAAAAAATGCATAGGGTCTCTGCAAGTATCGGAGATAGAGCTCCACTCTCTGTCTGTCAGATTGTGATTATAGTCCAATTTACATCCTCCCAACGTATCGTCTGGTCGATGTTGGGGGACCCTCAGGGATGAGGTGTCATCTTTTTTTTGAATTGAATTCTTGGAAGTCAAAATTGATCTGATAAAGTTGGGATCACCACTAATAAGAGAAAAGGGGCAAATAAGTCCACGTACTAACAAAAAAGGTCAAATAAGCCCTTATATAGGAGCCTATGTCCGGACGTCATCATTTGGGGCGGTTCCCGGTGGAAGTTTTTTATGCAATTTTTTTGACCATATTATTCATTAAGTCTAGTTTACTCATACCAAATTTCAGCTAAAACTTCAATCGGGAAGGCATTCAAATGAATTCTTGAAGATAACTGCGCATTTAAAACGCAGTTATCTTCAAGAATTTATTTGAATGCCTTCCCGATTGAATTGTTATCTGAATGTGGTATGAGTAAACTAAACTTAATGAATAAGATTCTCAAAAAAAATCATCAAAAAATTCCACCAGGAATTGCTCCAAATGGCGACGGCCGAACAGAGCCTCCTATATAAAGGCTTATTTGACTTTTTTGGTTAGTACGTGGGCTTATTTGCCCCTTTTCCCCAACTAATAATAAAAAAGGATAAGTACATTTCAGTTTAACATTATTGTATCATTATTAGATGAATTATGCAAAATATCTTTAATTTCATAAAGTATCTCATACTTGGGACTAAATCCAGTTTTTCTTCAATGTTTGTTTTCATTTACAAAATTACACGCACTGTCCTAATTCAATCTAATCAAATTCAAAAGCTCAAACACGCCCTTTTAAGCATTACAAAAAAAATTGAGCACTTGTTGTTTTTTAAAATTGTGTCTTTGACGTTTTTGGACATACTCTTTCCATTATTTTGTACTCTCTCCGTCCCGGTCATTTCTTCCGGTTTTGACCAGTATCGTAAATTTATGCAAATTTATAAAGGGGTTGACTTTCCCCTTATACCCTTGGCCGAATGGGTAAAATTTGAGGTAAAAACTTTAATAAAGTGGGAAAGTGATTAAAAGTAGATTGATTGACATGTGAATAGTAAAGACTATTCACATTTGACTAAAAGTTTCATACATAAGCGGCAATCCAAAAAAAGAGGGAGATTAGTTCCTTACATATACCACTCCCTGCTTACACACACGCACACTTACAAACACTGCACACACACGCACACTGAAAACAAAAAAGACAGCTTCCATGGTTGCAATATCTTCCACAGCTGCAACTTCTTCTTCATTTTCTCCAGCTTCTTCCACACCAAGACCCCTAGACCTGCAAATAGTAACAACGGATGGTCATGGTGCTGCAGTGGGGAAAAAGGGCTTTCGAACATTGAAAAAGAGCGCATAACACGTGTACTCTTAATGTCCAGTAGGAGGGATTATTTGGGGTACTTGAAAGCTCAGAAAGGTATTTTTGTCATACTTGCTGAAGAGTATGAAGTGTCCAGAAGAACTATTTCTGGCATTTGGGACACAGTTAAAAAGCAAGTTGTACAAGGTGATGCAGTAAATGTGTGTAGGAAGTACCATGGCAGAAAAAGGATAGAATTTGATCTATCTCAAGTATCACAGATCCCACTGCATAAAAGGACTACCATAAGGTCCTTGGCAGCTGCCACCTCAATATCAAAGTCAAGTGTCCACAGATTGGTTCAAAGTGGTAACATCAGAAGGCATACAAATGCAATAAAGCCATTTCTAAGTGATGCAAATAAATTGCAAAGATTGAAGTTCTGTCTTAGTCAGATAGAGAAGTCAGTGCCACAGAAGCCTACCTTTCAAACATTTCAGAATGTGATTCACATTGATGAAAAATGGTTTTTCATGACAAAAATATCTCAAAGATTATACATGAGGTTGGAAGATGCTGATCCACACAGAGTATGCAAATCAAAGAGGTTCATAACTAAGGTCATGTCCCTAGGTACAGTGGGTAGGCCCCTTTTTTCAGAAAGTGGTGAGGTCATTTGGGATGGAAAAATAGGCATGTTTCCATTTGTTGAACAGGTTACAGCAAAAAGAAGAAGCAAAAACAGAAATGCAGGTGTTATGGAAACCAAGCCTATTCTTAGCATAACAAAGAAAGTGTTCAAGGACATGTTAATCAACACAGTCCTCCCAGCTATCAAGGAAAAATGGCCTTCACAGTTAAGCAAAGAAATCATAATACAACAAGACAATGCAAGGCCACACATTTCACATGATGATGCAGAGTATGTGAGTGCTTCCATGGCTGATGGATTTACAATCACCCTTACTAACCAGCCCCCCAATTCTCCGGACCTTAACATCCTAGACCTAGGGTTTTTTAGGGCAATACAATCTTTGAAAGACCAGAATGCACCCAAGACAGTGGATGAACTGTTACATGCAGTGGATGATGCTTTCAAACAACTATCACCTCTGACTCTAAACAAAGTTTGGCTAAGCTATCGGTATGTTATGATTGAAGTTCTGAAAGTGCAGGGAGGCAACAATTACAAGCTACCACACAATGCAAAGGATAGGATGCAGTCAGAAGGGATACTTCCAAAAACAATTGAGGTAGATGTTCAATTATTGGAAGCAACAGAACAGATTCTAGGGCAACAAACAGGGGATACTGAAAGTCAGGGGAACTTCATAATTGAAGAAGATGATGATGATCATCATCTTCAGTGATGAAGTACATGCTCAGACATAATAGGCCTTAAATTTTTGTTTTTTGTACAGGCCTTAATTTTGCAGGACAGACAGACATTTAGAATTAGTACTAACATGCTCAGACATTTTGTAATACATGCTGCATACTCAGATCTTTTGTAGAAGTACAAGCATAGTCAGACATTTTGTAATAGTAGAAGCATAGTGATCTAGCAATGGTCATAATGATTTCATCATTTTGGGACAAGAACAACACACTCAGACCTTATGAATAACTACAACATGAGCATACACATCACACACAAGTACTAATCATGGTCATCATAGTATGCATAAAGTACCACATCACAGGATCATGGTCATCATAGTATGCTTAAACTACCAAAATACTTTCATATGGTCATCATAGTATGCATAAAATACCACATATGAGGGTCATGGTCATCACAGTATGCATTAACCACCCAAACACTATCATATGGTCATCATAGCATGCATAGAGTACCATATCACACCCTAATGCTTTCATCGTAGCATACCACTCAGAATGAACCAATCATAGCAGTAAAGAACCAGTACACACAAGGTCTACTTTCATCACAGTATGCATAAAGAACCAGTACACACAAGGTCTACTTTCATCACAGTGTGCATAAAGAACCAGTACACACAAGGTCTACTTTCATCACAGTATGCATAAAGAACCAGTACACACAAGGTCTACTTTCACAGTATGCATAAAGAACCAGTACACACAAGGTCTAATTTCATCACAGTATGCATAAAGAACCATCACACAAGGTCTAGTTTATCACAGTATGCAAAGGGACAGTTTAATGACAGTATGCATAAAGGACCAGTACACACAAGGTATACTTTCATCACAGTATGCATAACTACCATTTATAATACAAAACCACCATGTACAACCCACATGCATCACAATAAACATAAAAAAACAATTTTTCATCATTGCTTCCCCCAAATTACACACAATGGACATAGAGTACGAATTAAACCATAAATGAAGATAAGGTATAGAAGAAACTCCCCTAATCTGTGTCCACATCCCACATCCTTGTTTCCCATTTTGGCAAAATTATTTTTAGGAACTCCTCCAGTCGGGGACTTCTCCGAATAGGATGCATGTCAATGTATCTGCGTCTTTTAAGTCGATTTGGGTCCACCGTCTCCCCCACGACCTCTGCAGGCTTCTCGCTTACATCCTCGGGAAGCTCTTCTTCAATGTCCGGGATGATGAGGAGGGCATCCTCTGCCGGGGAGTTCTGAGCCATGCACCTCGGATGGAGTACCAATACAGGGTCATCTGTGTCCAACGCCACCGCTTCCTCGGGAAGAACAACCTCTTCACTGTCAAGGACGATGAAGTGTTCAATATTCTCCATACTCAAAGTATTAGGGTTTAGATCCATAAAAATGTGAGAGAGGGGGGGGGGGGGGGGGGGGCGGAAGGGTAGATAGATTTACAGAGGGGAAGATGGAGGAAGTAAATGGGAGAGACGGTTGGAGTAATTGAGAGAGACAGATGCAGTGACAGAGAAAGAGGAAGCGGTGGGAGTAAATGGGAGAGAGGGATGCGGGTGGGAGTAAATGAGAGGGAGAGGGATGTGAACGGGGGTAAAAGGGAAGGGGAGTGGGAAAGGGTTTTTTTTTATTGGGGAGGGTAAAATAGGGTTTTTGGTATGAGTTGATTTCCTTTTTAGGAAAGTTGGAAGAATTAATTGGGACGGCACAAAAAGGAAAACTGGAAGAAATGACCGGGACGGAGGGAGTAATATATATTTTTCTGAATTGCATCTTTTTATTTTCTTATTTTATCCTTTTATGTATCATTTAACCTTATTGTATGATTAAAATTATCAAACAACCATTGCATACTTATTAATACTCCGTACTTTATTTTCTTAAAACGGATGTTAGGATGTTTTTAATTGGACTGTAATTTGTTGATCTGGTCTGGTCTGGTCTGAACTGGTCTGGTCTGGTCTGGTTTCTTTGTATTTTTATAAATATCCAAGTCTGGTCTGATCTGATCTGGTCCGAACTGGTCTGGTCTGGTCTGGTATGATCTGGTCTGGTCTGATCTGGGACGAATTACGATCCGAGTAAAAACATCCTTTCCTTAATAAGAAATTGAGGGAGTAATAAATTGAGGGAGTAATTAATTTTTCCGGCCATCTAGCTCATTTCCTTACGTTTGCCATAAGAATAGGTCAACATTTCAAAAAGTTGTGAGGGATGATTTCTACTAAAATTTGCCCTTCCTTTTCGTGAAAAAAGTAGAGTGTGTTAATTGAAAAATTATTCACCATAAAAGAAAATGATAAATCATCATTACTTATCGGTGGGCGTAGCTGAACGAGTAGCAAGGGAATGCCACAAGGGTTAGGTCCCGGGTTCGAATCCCGACAACTGCGATTGAGATTATAGTCCAATTTACATCCTCTCAACGTACCGTTCAATTGGGGTTGATGGGCCCTCAGAGATGAGATGTCATCTTTTTTTGATAAATCATCATTACTTTTTACAAAAATACTCATAATAACACCAGTACTCCACTCATTTATATTCCCACTCGCATCACTATTTATTTTAACTATTCACCTTTTTAAGCATTTCTTCATTTAATTACCTTATTTAAAATAATTCTGAAAATACTTTATTTAATTACTCGTCTAAAGATAGTACTATCCCATCGCGCCATGATTGTCTCATTTTACCTTATCAGTCCGTCATACTAAGATTGTCACATACCAGATTTGGTATAGTTTGTGACTCTAAATCATTCTTACTTTATTCTTATTTTATCAATTCAGTATCAACCACATAAACCACTTTTTATTAATTTGCGTGTCACTCCCTCTTATCCCATTGTTAGCGGGACGGAGGGAGTATCATTTTATTATGATGACAGAAATGGATACTATGGAGTTTTGGTACCAAAATAAATTGGTACTCCCTCCATCCCAATTTGTAATATACTTTACGGTTTACGATGTTTGATCGACGATAAAGCAAATTGATCCCTGTCACCACTCAAATTAGTTTTAGAAAATAAAATTTACATATTCAGAAACTACATTAAAACCGCTACAAAGCCTGCAAAAAATGATTCAAATTTCATAAACTTTTGATATATAAAGTAACAGATTAAGAGTGATTTATGTTGACCAAGTGAATTATAAATGTATCTTACAATTTGGGAGTGAGGGAGTATTTTTTTATTAATCCACTTGTTATTCGTTTAATCTAAATAAATTGAACATACTTTAAATTTTACGGAGTAGTTTATAGATGAAATTTTATCAATCCGGGACCTGAAAGATAGACGAACTATCAATTCGGGACCTGAAAGATGAAATGTATCGGTATATGACACGAATGATGAAAAACTATCAATCTAGGACCCGAATGATTGAAAACTATCAATTTAGGACATAAGTTTTCATAAATTTTATTATTATTTTTATTTTGAAATATTTAAATAATATTTAGTTTTATTAAACTTGTTGGGATATTGACCTAGAGGCCCAATACCCAGGTTGGGAAGGCCCAAGATATCCGGCCCAAATAACAGGCCCATCACTCTATGATGAAAAGATCCAGTAAGGAGACATACCGAACGGGGTTCGGCCCAAATAAAGGTTGGCCCAATAAGAAGACATACCGAACGAGGTTCGGACTATATATTATACTTGGGCCAATTTGACAGCATCTTCAGTACGGACCAACATCCCATTCGAGCAACGGCCAACCAGAAAGTGGCCAGGTGCAGTTAATGCCAGACTATGACATCAGCAAGTGGAAGCATGGATGACCAAGTCGGTGGAACAACGGCCAATCAGCAAGAGGCAGCCCATGCTCTCCATTAGTATAAATAGAAGGTTTCAAGTCATTGTAAGGGTTAGCATTTCAATACTCAAGCTCTAGAATAGCATCATTTGCTCTTATTTCTTGTATTAAAGCATAGTTTCCAACGTACCGATCGAGAAATCCCTTGTAATCAAATTGGTTAATTAATACAAGTGGGCTTTCGAGTTTTAGTTAGTTCAGATCTTATATTTTCTTATACACTTTGATTCTGGGCCATTCCTGATATATCCAAAGTTCGTGTTGGGCTTTCGGATCTGCGGGACTTACCCTCAACATTGGCGCCGTCTGTGGGAAACTTGCAAAAAGTTTCACTTTCTAAACATCCAAAAAACCTCTATTTCTAAAAATGGTCAGAATCAATTCCTATCATACAAACGACGGTTCACACCGTCACGGGAGGAGTCACACCCCGGGGAGTCAAAACCCCCAGGGACAATCCAGTCGAGGATCATATCCTCGTGTTAATGGGGATTTTGTGATTCCCGAATCTCTGAGGAGAAATCCCCAGGCCATGCGTGCCATGGCCCAATTCATGCAGCACATGGCCAACGAAGAAGAAGGAGGTTCCAGCTTTACAGGAGAAACTCCACGCGCGGAAACGACCACAGCGTCATCCCGCTCACATACCCATCAGGATAACCGTCGTAGCGCCCCACCAGCAGCGCATCCCAGTCCCAGTGACCGAACCCCGGTCGGGTCGCAAGCTAGAGGACCAACTCCCATCGGTCATCATTTCCAGTATGCCGAGCGGGAAAATGCGAGGGCCCCTCAGCGGCATTGGGACCGGGACTGTACGGATATGAGGGTTCCACCACCGCCCCCTTTGACGGCCCAGGAGGAAGAGATGGCCGAGATGAGGAGGCAAATGAATGAAATGCGGGACCAGATGAACAGGGTACCTGTACAACCTGCACCAGTTCAGCTGGGGATTACTTCCCCGTTTACTAGGGAGCTCATGTACGCGGATATCCAAGGGGTGCCAAGCCCCCGACCGGCCAAATTTATGATGGGGTGGGAGATCCCCACGTACATCTGAGGAGTTACCAAGGCGGACTTATGCTGCTAGGAGCACCCGAGGCTGCCATTTGCCATTTGTTTTTCAGCACGCTCAGGGGGCCTGCCCAGGAATGGTTCGGGACACTACAGCCCGGGTCAATCAATAGCTTTGCCGAGTTATCAGCGTTATTCTTGGCTCAATTTGCTTCCAGTGCCAATCCCAAACGGCACTTCAGTTATTTGACCAGCGTGAAGCAAAACGCCAAGGAGACCCTCAACCAATTCCTGAAAAGGTGGAGGGATGAAACTTTAACAGTGGGAAGCATGACGGATGACACCGCCATTACCCTGTTAACGAATGCTCTCCGAATGGGGGAGTTGTACAAAGAATTGAAGAAGAATCCGGGTACGGCGTACGCCGAAGTATTAGATAGGGCTCGCAAGCATGCCGCCCTAGAAGAAGAAATAATGATTAGGGATAAGGTCATTACGCCTGCTGCCCCGATCAGACTGGCCGATCGGCTGGGTCCTAGCCCGACGGCCACTTTACCTCCCAAACAAGGGAGATTTACACCCCTGGTCCTATCAATAGCGGCCATCTATCAGAACGAGAGGGACAATATTCCCATCCCGACTGATTCTGGACAGTTCATGGGAACAGATGACAATGCTTTCTGTAAATATCACAACAGAAAGGGTCATGCCACCAATGCCTGCAGGGCCCTGCAAACAACAATTGAGGATCTGATCCGAAGGGGCCATCTGGGCAAATATGTGAACAAAGATCCGAATGCAATGGGCACGTTAAAACCGGCCAGGAAACCTAATAGCTGGCGCCGGGATGCTCAACGTGACGCCCAGCCTCAGAATGATGTGTATGTCCCTCCCAGGGATGAGCCAGAGGGCTCGGGAGGCCCCGGAAAGAAGCCTCGAATGGAGGTCAAGGTCATTTTTGGGGGCGGGGAGACCGGAGATTCGAACACCGAATGGAAAAGGTTCGAGCGAAGTCTTTATGTGGGATCCGTCTCCGCTCCCCCCAGAAGAAAGGAAGGACAAACCCGATCACGTTCGGGCCAGCTGATCTACCCAACTCTCCAAGCCCCCACAGGGATGAACTGGTGGTAAGCATGTGTATTGACAATGCTTTAATACGCCGAGTGCTGGTCGATACTGGGAGCAGTGTGAATGTATTGTACCTACAATCATTCGAGAAAATGGGTCTACAAAGGAGCCAACTAACCCACCTGCGGACTCCACTGGCGAGTTTTACCGGTAACTGCATCGAGGCGGAAGGGACCATCCAATTGATGGTTGAAATTGGGGATGAAACCCACAGAGCGTCACTCCGAATGACGTTCGTGGTGGTAGATATAAAGTGCGCCCATAATGCCATATTGGGCCGACCGGGATTGGAAGATCTGGAGACAATAGCCTCTGTCCGCCACTCATGCATCAAATTCCCTACAGACACTGGGGTAGGGGTGGCCAGAACTGACCCAACGACAGCCCGGACGTGTTATCGGGAGGCCCTGAAACAGATGAACACTCGTGGGATGCGGGTGAATACAATTGAGGTGGAAACCCACCGAACGGAGTTCGAGGCACACCCGGAGCCCGCCACCCTCCTTGAACACATCGACCTCGACTTCCCCCCGAACCGTAAGGTTGCTATCGGGGTAGATCTGGAGGCTGATATCCGGGATGGCGTGATTGCCGTCCTCAAAACGTTTCAGGTGCTGTTTGCCCGGGGGCCAGAAGATATGCCCGGCATTGATCCAGAAATAATATGTCACAAACTTGCCGTTCGGTCTGATGTGAAACCGGTCCAACAGAAGAAAAGGTATCAAGCAACCGAACGGCGGGAATTCACAAAGAAGGAAGTGGCCACTTTGCTAAGGATAAAGCACATCCGTCCGGTAATCCACGTAGAATGGCTATCCAATGTGGTTCTAACCCCAAAACAATCTACCTGGAGAATGTGCGTGGATTACTCTGATCTGAATAAAGCATGCCCCATGGATCCCTACCCAGTGCCGAGGATCGATCTGCTAGTGGATGAGACTGCCGGGTGTGAGTTACTGAGCTTCATGGATGCTTTCCGGGTTATCATCAGATATTCATGCACCCGGACGATGCGGAGAAAACGGCGTTCGTTACTTCGGATGGCGTGTTTTGCTACATCGTCATGCCATTCGGATTAAAGAACGCAATGACAACCTTCCAGAGGATGATC